CCGAATCGTGTCGACCTCCAAATTAATGGAATTATAATTTCTGGTTGACGACATTCGCCAGGTGGTTTTCGTTCCCCGTTGTAATAAGTTATAACAAGACTTTCAAGAAAACTCTCTCGGGAAATGTTCTTTCAGTTTAATTTCACCAATTCCCTATAGGAAAGAAAATGGGTACTTCCGTTTCTTTGCTAACACTTTTGAGAAACTCGATACAGCTTTCACGCTAAAACTTACGGCGCAGTAAATCATAAGCTTATAAAAAGGATCAGATTGACTTCAGTATCAGATGATGCGTACAAAGTACATTATAAATAAGGTTATTTTTATTTCAACTTTCTAATCATAAACCTATCAGGAAACACGCTCAGAGGATTATTTTCGTGGATCAATATCACTGAAGTAGGCTTTCAAGCAGTTAAACCCACAGCTTCCCGAGGTTTAAAGCTAACGACGCATGTTTTCAAGCGGAGTTGATCGCCATAAGTCGTTTGCGTCTCTTAGCAAGAATCGTGCATAGTATTCGCGTATTGACGACAAAAAACAGCAACAGCAGCATCAACATCAGTAACAACAACATCAGTAACAAAAATATGAACAAACGAACAATCTAGGAAAACACCAGAACCAAATGCGTATGTCATTCTACAGATTCATCTCAAGTAATTACAGGTGAACAAATCATACGGCTGATAACAGGGTTCTACGATCTCAGGTGTATAAGCTATCAGGGTGGCTGCACAACTTTAGAATAGGGAAAACCTGCGTAAAGCAAAAAGGTATACAACACATGATCGCTAGTAAAATACTATACCAATCAGATAAGTCGATGATACGTGGTTGTCATTTCAGATGAGACCTCTATGACTGATAACGAGAGATCTACAGTTTGTTTGTTAAAATTTTTCCATTACACCAATCACTTTAATCGTTATCAGTATATGTATTTATCAATGTTATTATTATCATTATTGCAATTATTGGTATCATTGTGGTTTTCATTCTATTAACTCATCTTCAAATGTATTTTTCTACTTAAAATAATCGAATAGGCTTCGCTCTGGTTTACTTGCAACGCAGTAGCAACGTATCGGTATGCACATCTGGGAAATATAACAGGAAACGTGCCCGTTTCTTTTTTATTGTTGTTGTTTTCTTTTTTAAGGCCATTTCTTTAAACTGCAATGACTCACACCTCCGTGGTAGCCCTTATATCCTCGTTAAATTCTCGGATACTCTTCCCTCTGAGATATCTTCTTACCCTACCAAACTAATGTTTTGTGATCGCAATGAACGACTCCATACATGTAGATGAAGATATTCCGTCCGCCTTATATAAACTGAAAGACATTATAGTTTTGCAGTCTAATTTTGCTCTCGACTTTAATTTCCTATGTACTAAGCATTAATGTGTTTCTCTTCAATAAACTTTTATGTGTCTATCATATGAAGGCCATGTTCAAATTTTTATGAAATCTTGTTTCATGAGTGGTACATTTTTAACATTCAGCGTAAATCCATATCGCACCCACGACATGCTTCATACTTTTGCATAAATCAATCTGGTAACGAAAAGAAGTCTTTGTACATCTGTTAAGTTTAGATTAATTTACAATTCTAAAACAATAGCTTCGTAAACGCATAACAAAACTTCAACTGAATATGCGTGTGTAAGCATAGTTGTTTCCTAGTCTTAATAAATTTGGTTCAGGACCTCTCCACTAATGTTATATATTTATTTTTTATCTGCCTTGCTACAGAAAAGTATGAGGTTTTAGTGTATGTGTGTTTTCCTCCAACTTTCATTTGAATGCCTTATCTTTTGTTCTGCCAATACCCTTGACATCGAATATAACAATGATCTCGTACTTTCCGACTTTTTTGCCATTATTAAAACATGATCAAATAATTGCTATGTCAATAAATTATGGATATCTTTTCCCCCACAGCTGTGTGGCAACGCTCTTATGGTTAATTGAGATTCACTCAAGCACGTAGGTTCTCTCGCCATAGGTAGAATGTTTTCCTTTTCTTGTCTAAGTTTGTTTGCGTGAGTTATTGTCTCGATGTCTTAATTTATTATTAATAACTAGGATCTTGACATTGTTAATGAGTAGCTTCTGTCTGTCAATGTATTGAGGAAAGATTCTCGAAAAAACGAACGAAGTCATGTTTACAACCAATCGAGATCAGACAGTTTTCTAATTTCGTATTTTGTCTTCTCACCATTGAATTACAGAAGCTTTACCACCTTGGTGCATTCGACGAAGGGGTCTTTCGATCACATTTGGCGCCAGTATTGTAGAAGTTCAGATTGGATTTAACAGTTATTACGTTGGGGTTTCTTTGTGTTATCGAACATTTCGATCACCAGAGCACAAACTCTACGATTCTGCCGGAAAGACGGACTTGGAGAGAAGCAACTTGGCAAATAGCGGTCTCGTTGAGGTACATAACTAACTAAACCTGAGTGTAGCCCTTATTTCAAAGCCCTCACCGATATGGTAACCAACATGTCCACGAGTAATGAGACCTCTATAGACGTCAACATCTCAGAAGAAACTTCGGGCGAGTCATCCGCCATCAAGGGAATCAAGCTCTCATTATATGCCATAATTTTCCTTATTAGTGTCATCGGCAACACCTTGGTTTGTGTGGTGATCGCGAGGCGTCGACGAATGCGAACCGTAACCAACTTCTTCGTGTTAAACCTCGCGGCTTCAGACTTAGCAATCACCTGCATTTGCATCCCTTTTGACATTCCTGTGCAGGAGAATCACCACAAATGGCTGTATGGGAAAGTCCTGTGTAAACTTCTGTACCCCATTCAGACAATGGCTGTGTTTAGCTCCATATTTACACTGACAGCTGTGAGCCTGAATAGGTTTTGGGCTATAGTATATCCTCTCAGGAAACAAATGACTAAGAAGCATGCTTTCGTCGTCATTGTGGTCACCTGGGTTGTCTGCGCCCTTTTAACAGTTCCTTATGTGGTGGTGTTAAATCTGAACGAGACAACCAATTATTGCGAGGAAAACTGGCCAGGAATCGAGTACAGGAAAGCATACACAGCTTCTTTGTTCGCTCTGCAATACCTCTTGCCTCTATGTATGATTACGATAGCATACTTGAAAATCGGACTTGAACTAAGAACTTGTGTTAACGTAAAGAGGAGATACTCTGTCAACTCCGTTTTACACAACGCACGTAGAAACGAGGCGCGCAAAGTTGTACGCATGCTCATCGTCGTCACCCTTCTCTTTGCGATTTGTGTGTTACCCAATAACGTTATGTGGCTTTGGCTCGATTTTGGAAACGGGGCAAGCTACTCAAAATTTTGGGACATGGTTGCATTCACCAACATCATTCTCTTTGCAAACAGTGCTGCGAATCCTATTGCTTACACTATCTGCCACGAGAATTTTAGGGAGGAATTTAAACTGTATTTTACCTGTGATCCGAAAATATTCCAAAGCATGGCAGAAAGTACAATCACTTACACGAGGAGCCGATTGCGAAGTCTGACTGGTCAAGACAAGAACATCAGCCAGACTGTAGAATATAATGAAATTCTTATCACAGATGAAGTATTAATCGTTGATGCAAAAGAGACGGTCATCTAATGACAACATGTCAAAGGAACGGAAAGAAAAGCTGAAATTATCCAGTTTACACTGGCATTCCATAGTAGATACAAATTTAATATAATTTCCTTGAATATGAAAACAGATTGATATCAGTCGATATGATATTTCCTCTGTCCCTCTCTACATATTGTACGCTCGAGGTCAGTTTGAAGAACGTTTGCTTCGAGGGAACGCTTGCAACTGTACACTCACAAAGCCGCCATTAAGACGAAGTTAATAACACTACGCTAAGCGATGTCCGAGGGGTTTCCATTTTGTCTGTTAGGTCATTGTCTCTTCAGCAAAACAATAAGGAAAAAAAAATAGATGTTTTAAGCTTGTGGCCTATTTGTCTACTTCTTGTGATAATTAACGCATGGTGCGTGGCCTCTTTTGTTTCATCGTACAAGTGAATCGCCAGTTCTATACTACATAACGATTCATTTCAGCATAGTGCTTGATTTGTCAACGAAATAAAACATCCATTCTGAATGTCAACAGTGTCTGAGTTTTCTTTGTGTTTTTCCTTATATTTTCTTTTCCAGTTACGCATACTACACTTGTGCTTCAAATTGGTATTAATTGCGCACCTGACAGTAAGAAAGAAAAGAAAAATGCACAATTTGTGTAGGAGTAAGAATAAGGAACACATAAGGTGTGGATTCAGAAAAAAATATAAATAAAAGAAAAGCATTAGATAATTAAAGGGTGTGAGACTTCCTACATTTTCTCGGTCTCTTGGGAAGCTTTGCGGATGTAATCAGCGTTCGTACGTCAAAATAGTAAGTAATTAATATTAAGATTCTATAAACTGCAATAAACTCACGTATATCTGTCTCACTCACGCTTTTCATGCAACCGAAGGAAATATAAATACTGATGATATGTGATGACTTTTGGACTTAAAGCTAACTGCCAGTCGGTATTGGTTGTTCATTGAACATCATGGCGAAAACAAAAAGTGCAGCTGCGGGTTTCGCAGTTTTAGCTTTCTGTGTCCTCTTAAGGCGTCGCTGATTAATCTCACAATTCAGCTACGTAAAAATCAGGTATTTTGGTATTAACAACTGAGTTGAAAACGTAAATTGGCCACCCAAAAGAGTTAAAAGACTGAAGTTTCGAGCGTTAGCCCTTCGTCAGAGCGATTGGCGCAGGGCTAATGCTCGAAACGTCAGCCTTTTTACTCTTTACGGTGGCCAAGTTACGTTTTCAACTCAATTGTTAACACCTGTTTTACCTTCTCAACGACGCAGCACCACAGTTTCTTTAGAAACTTACACCCCTTACTTAAAAACCACTTTATTTTTGGTGTGTTTGTCACTTGATCGGACGTATACGAGCACAAATGTGGATAAGTATGAAGGAGAGTGAAACGGGTTACAAATAAAGGTTTTAATTTTAATTTTGAAAATACGATACAAAAGCTGTGCCTGGACTTCATCGGTATAAAAGTGTCATTTCTTGTTAGAAAGCGGAACTCATTGTAGCAGTTCGTAACTTTCGTTGACTATCACCGTTATCATTCATTCGCAGAAGTTCCCTTCGTCCTTCAGATGGCTTTCCTATGATCTTGTTGAACATCTTCATGAGGTGATCCTTGAACTCATTGCGGTAGCTTTCATTCAGAATCGTGTAGCAAATTGGGTTAGCCGCGCTGTTTGCAAACGTTATTATGTTACCAAGCGCCACTAAATCCCAGAATCTGTCGTATTTTTCATCTGCTCCGCCAAAGTCCAACCACAACCACAGAATATTATTTGGCAAAACACATACAGCAAACATAAGGGTTACTATCTTGAGCATGCGCACAACTTTCTTCGCCTCCTCGGATTGGAGGTCTTGCAAGTAACGGTTACCGTTCCTAGCGCGATGGGCAAGCTCTCGGCCAATGCTTATGTACGCGCCTGCAATTACTGTCAGCGGAAATATATATTCAAACACAAACAGCGTAACCGTGTACGTTTTTCGTGCGCTTTTGCTCGGCCATTCCTCATCACATTTTCCGGACTCACCGTTTTTCTCGGAAACACTGATGTATGGCGTGACAGCTACGAGGGACGCAATCCATATTCCCACAATTATGAATTTCGCGCTTCTGGTCGAAAGCTGTCGACGGAGAGGGTGGTTTATTGCCCAGAATCGCGACAAACTGACGGCTGTCAGTGTGTAAACAGACGCAAATAGTGTGAGTGTTTGAAGGGGATATAACAGTTTACAAAGAAATGCTCCGTAGGGCCATCGGTAGTTCATTTCTTGTACAGGAATGTCAAAAGGAATACAAATGCAAGTGAAAGTCAAGTCTGCAATCGCCAGATTTAATACGAAATAGTTCGTCACAGTTTTCATCTTTTTCCGTCGTAAAATCACCGTGCAAACTAAAGAATTTCCCACTGCACTTACAAGAAATATAACCGCATAGAGCGTGAGAGTTATTATTCTCAGTTCAGAGGACATCGAGTTGGGCGCTTGAGTTACCTCAATATTATGAGGGCCTTTAGATGTTGATAAGTTTGTCATTGTCATTTCTTTCTCAGCCAAAGAATTGTTCCATCTCGTCCCCATTGCTGGTCCTCAATGGTATTCCAAAATGCGGAGTTTCGTAAACGAAGGTTAACCGGTTTCAGTGAATCCCAAAGAGTAGCTTCTTCGGTCTTTACTCGTTGTCGCTAGAGCTGTAGAGGTAAAAACAAAGCAGCAGTTATAAACGTAAAACAACTCGGCCGCCGCTAATTATTCTCGATCTAAACTCATAAAGTAGTAAGAGTTGGATTATGCGGCTGAACAACTTAAGCGTAATTTTTCTCATGATCTCCATCTAGAGTCATACTTGTCTCCGTTTGATTTTCCAGTCTTACCCCTTTTTGATATGACAAGATTTTACGAAAAGCTGGAAGTATGAAGAAAACTGTTATTCCTATTGTCGCGAGCGTGGGACAAAGAAAAAAAAAAGAGTCTCTCGAAAGTAATCGATGCCAAACCTTCGAATTCCCCACTTAGTAAGTCCAATTATTAGGTCCATAATTACGTTCATGATTAACATCTCCCTTTGCCTATTTAGGCTGAGGTAGTTTTGAATGTTTAAAAGGACGTGAACATATAAAGTAAGACAAACTAAATTGGTAAAAAAAATAAGAATAAAAATAAAAAACAATTTGGTTTACCAAGAGAATGATGATTTCTCTAAGATAGCGACAAGACCAAACAGAGTTGGATGAACTAACATATGGCGTCAAACAAAGACCCTTGGTAATGTGTTAGTCAGCACGTTCAAATTCAGGAATAGCTTGTGAATTAAAAGCATCCCTTTAGCGAAGCCGCAAACAATCGAAGTAATCAAGATTACTAGAATCAAGCAATTGTTCACTCTCGTGATGTTTGTGGGGTACCTTTCTTTAAAGTCCTTTGTTTCAAAGAGTGGTATATAACACCACGATGTAACTCCCTAAATTTCTGTTTTCTGTTATGTTTCCTGCAGTTGTTTGTTTTTGCTTTTTTATTTCCTTTATGATTCTTAGTTTGGTTTTATTTTTGTTTCTTTCTTCTATTTACATTTTCTTCTCATTTTCCCAAACTTTTTGCCTTGCTTCTTCGACATCTGGTTCAGTAACTAGCCGCTGCGCCGGCACACTAAAGGTACTTGATTCACTTGTTTTAATCGAGATACTTGCCACCAACTAGCTTATTTGTGCACTTAACAAAGACAATCATAACAACTTACAGAATCCAAATGAATATCGTGCAATTTTATTTTGAAAACATTTTTCTCTTAATTTCATCGAGATAGTGACAAAAATATAATTTAGATTTTACCGACGAAATTATATTTCATAGATTCATGCGATCCCTACGTCAATCATACATCTTTTCCAACTCCGCGAGGCAATAATTTAGAATAATAAATTGACTGTTGACTCTTTGCAAACACAAACCAATATTGCTCTCACCTTAAGTGATCAGAATTGTCAATTTTTCGTAAAGCGATTGAGCTAAAAGCCTGCTCTCAGTCAAAAACAGGTCACCTCGCTCATATGGCAAATTGTGTCGATGATTTTAAAAGGAAACCCCTTAATCTTGGCAAAAAAAAACAACATGATGCAAAGTATCTCAATCAAGTGCTTAAAACATTTCGTGAAAAAATTTCAATTTAAAGTATCTAGAGCAGATGTGGACAGCATCATGACAAGAGTACTTGGAGCAGAAGACAAACTACGTGAATTGAATATTAATTAGGAGAATTAGTGAGAGCCATAAGTCTTTCTCTTCCTCTGCGATCATCCTTGTTTCTTTTTTTTACTAGATCTTTTTCGTCCATATTTTTGAAGTTTCATGCCGAATGATCGATGAAAATGGAAAGAAGGTATGAAATCACATGTAGGTATAAAATTACATGTCAGTTTTGCTAAGGCCTTCGGGCAAGGACTTTCGGCAAGCAAATTCAAGAATACTTTCATAAAAGCAATATGGATAGCAAAATTTAAACTTTGCCCCTCTCAAGAAAGATTGAGATCTCTCTTTTTCTAGTGGTTGAAACACTACTGAGTTGTCGATTCTGGAAACCTAACGTCCAAAATATTGATTTTATCTCAAAGGTAATATCCTTTAACAGTCATAATTACCTTCGAATATCCGTACTCTGCAAAATTGCACATGCAGGAGTTGACCCTTTCAATAACGTCCCTGAAGGACCTGAAGCGAATGGAAAGGCTTCACTTTCATGTGGGAAGCGGAGAAGGGTCTTTCATCTATTTTGCAGCGGTAATGAAAATTAAAATTTGTAGATTTACCCATATAAAGTAAAGTCGGTTTCTCGCCGACAGACTGGAACATTGCCCACAATCGATTTGTCTAAAGAGGAAATACTACGTGTGTAAACAACCTTGCCAACTCTGCAGGGAATTAATAAATCATTCTAATTAGTGAAAGCGTCAAAAAAAAGTATAAGAAGTCCAGAACCATTGACAGAAAAAAAGAAGAGTTTAGAAAATCATTTGCATATCCGAAAAGAGACATAAAAACCGTAAGAGCAGTCAATGGTATTGTTCATTGGTAAAACTTTTACAGAATCAGAGAACAACTTTTCGAAATTCTCTGCGTCCAAAATCAATAATCTTTCGTCCGCAACAGAGAGAGCTAACTGAAAGAATTTTCTTTTTTTTTTTACGAGAAATCATATTATCAAAAACTCAATAAAAACTCAATAAAGTCGATGACCAAGAAATATCTATTTCAATTTTTCGCTTCTTCCGATTTCCTTGCGATAAAATGTAATGTTTTGATCGTCAAAGAGACTGTTACATGGCTTAGACTGTACAAAGAATTATTTGGACAACTTCATGATTTGTTTCTTTTGATATAACTTTCCATAAAATGAATGAAATGTTGTTACCATCAAAATATAAATGCAGTTTTTGAGTTCATCCATCCCAATTTGTTGCAGTGTCTTAGTTTCCAAGTGTCAAGAGTCACTAGAAAAAAGGCACTTGTTGACTTTTTTTTTATTATTTCACGAATAACTTAAATTGAAGAAGACGAAATGAGGTTATACCATGCATTGTTGATAAGGTTTCAAGCTTGGCGCAAATTTAAAGCGTCTAACAAGCTTTCTTTTTCATTCACTTCATTTGATCATTATGATCAATTTCATCATATTTCTCTTCAAGATGACAGAGGAACTGCTACCTTTGTGATGCGAAAATGTCGTGCTGCAAACAGACAGGTTCTTTGTTTTTATCTAATCATTTCAGATGAACGCTGTTAATTTGGTAATAAAAAGGTTTTTGTTGACAACCCTTTTCTTTAAAAACTTCCTTTCCGAATTTAAACATTGTCTCATTTCATTATATAGAAAGATTATTTTCAAGTTACAAACTCGATACAAACTCTTGATTTCTTATAACTCCTCACCATATTTTGATAATCATTTTCCATCCCTCGCCTTTCAAAGTCATGATCACGCTCTCATCATTTTTTTTTTACCTTTCTTTCATTAATTTTATTAGAATTTTATTATCATTTATCCTTTTTTTCCGCACTAGGAAATATAACATTTGCAATAAACGAATAGAATTTAAGGAAACAGAGTGGATTTATACCACTAAAAGTCCAAAGTCGTTTTTTTGACATCAAATCTCGATTTCATGCGTCCTATCCTTGTATGAAGGTTAACTTTACGAAGACAGTTTACTTTTAATGATTGGCAAACAGCACAAAATGTGCAAAAATCCTTGATGTTATAGAACATACGAAACAGCGCCGTTGACAGTTCTACAAATAATACTTTTTAACTGCCATGAAGTGAACCCAAGGCAAAAGAACAGCTAAGATTTGGAGATATGACGACATCATTAGCAGGATTTCTAAAAAGTTCTGTTTTCAATTGCCGTTTCTCATCATTCATGGGGAGAGCTAATTAAATTTTCAAGTGAATTGTTGATTTCATTAAGGTCACACATAATTAACATCATTTATTTTAGTGAAATGCTAGATGTAGGTCATTTTGGATGACATAATTATCCTTACCCACCTCGTAACCTGTTATTTGTAAGTGTATGTGTTTGCGATATTTAGACAGGCTGGCCACTCAGAGGTTGTTTAAATGGGGGCCTTTGTAAACAATGACAAGGCCAGGCCACAACACCGGGACCTAACCAGTACAGAGAAGAGACAGGAGACGGCTTATCGTTTTTATCCGAGAAGACTAGAATTAATAACCATTTATCGTTGTTTTCAGTTACTTTAAGACCCTGAGTTCTGTCTGGGGCTTGAACACGCGACATCCCGCACAACGTGAGCAAACCAAGCGCAACTTTTGTATCTAGTTACATAACATAGTTGTACATCTACACAAGCGTTGTAAAGCTCAACGTTCATGAAAGCCCCCAGTGCATGCCGGACACTTCACCTTTGCCAATCAAGAGGTCAAGCTATTGGAAGGATTACACTGGAGTGTTACATTAAATTTAATTATATATATCACGAAAAATAAATAACAATGACATTTCAGTTCATCGATTAATTCACGTAGCAGATTAACAAGACTCCTTGATGCACTCAATGACATACTTTGCTTATTGTCAGCTTTTGGGGCGGTTGCGTTGAACTGTAAAATAATCATTGTCCATCAAATGAACTATTCATCAATAAATTTTAAACTATCCTTTGTCAAACATTATAATCAAATACAGGGTCTCTTTCGTTACCTTCAATAACAAAACAAAAAGGAAAAACATTGAATCTTCGGTTTATTTCATTTACATTTTTCCGAGCCTAATGCCTTCAATCCTTTTTTTACTTCCCATTGAATTACATATATTTTACAATTTTATTCCGAAGGAAACTAATGGAAATTTGCTACAAAGTTTTAGCCTCTTCTGTTTCTTTTAAATCTCTTCGTGGCCTAAACTTCACTTTTAATTGAAAGGCCCTTGAACATAGAGTTCTCTTTCCTAAACCGCTCTTCCACTGGTATGAAAATCAATGTATAATCAGGTACCATTCCGCTTTCTAATATTAACCGGCGGTGAGATAACGTTGAAAATCAGGTCAGTTTGTTAGCTTTTAAATCTCTTCGTGGCCTTAACTTCACTTTTTAATTGAAAGGCCCTTGAACATAGAGTTCTCTTTCCTAAACCGCTCTTCCACTGGTATGAAAATCAATGTATAATCAGGTACCATTCCGCTTTCTAATATTAACCGGCGGTGAGATAACGTTGAAAATCAGGTCAGTTTGTTAGCAATAAAAGAGACCTAAAGTTGCTATATTAAGCAGTCTCTTCGAGATTGTCAAGTCATAAACGAGAGCGATTTGAAATGAAACATCGAATGTCAGCAGAACAAATTAGTAAAAGCCGATTCATTTTTCTTTGCCTGACTTTGACTTCTGTCTACTAATTATTTCTACCGCCGCTCCTGGGGTCTGATGGAAGCAAGCCAAGGGGTCTCAAATACAAACCATCAGACAAATTGTGCACTCAATACAAACGCAAGTAAATTGCCGGTACCTTTGAGAGTAATGAATTATTTCTAGAGCCGATTTTCAACCACACATTGTCGGCCTAAAAATCGACATTGGTCATTTTTAACGCAACATTTCTCAGAAAAAATGTGTTACAAGAATTTGCAATTGTTTTGAAAAAATGAGCAATCTTGTTGCCTAGATTTTGTTTTTTTATGATATTATTTTGGCTTCAAAAATTGCGTAACGTATCACTCTGCTGTCGTTGATGAAAGGATAAAGGCGCGTGAAAAGTAGTCCCTTGAAGTACAGATTTAAAATCAGCATCACCTCAAGTGTTTCTGTATAATGCTAGATTGATCACTGTTGCAAGATATAAATATGAAAAACAGTTAAGTGAAATGTAACAGACCCATTGTCCTCGCTTTTTCTATTTTTCTTTCCTATTTCCTTCGAAATGTTTGTCCAAAAAAAAAATCACCTTTTCGCAACCTATATAAATTTAACAATAGTCATTATATACTAACCGTTCGAGATCAATTCTCCTGGCTCAGGTATGGCCTTCAGCTTTGGTTTATTTGACGTTGCGTTCGCGATTCAGACGGCGAAAGCTTCGACGTGGAAGTGCTCTACTATAAGAAAATAAAAAGCGACTTGGCACTCACGGTGTAATTAACAATGCAGTCAACCTTCTGCTCTTATGTCAATGATGGAGATGTCCATTTCGAATTTTAATTCATTTAACTAATGACAGGTTCCTTCAAATGCTAAAAGCTTACAGTATTGGTTCTTGAGATGAATTCGCTGCATTGGTTTCTAATTTCTCTATATTACTTCTGTATTTAGGTTTTCAAATGAATTGCTTCTATTTCTGTCTGAATTTTATTTTTAATGCAAAATGTCTTTAGAATATGTGAAGATAGATTTTATATGAACAAATTCAATCTGTCGATTCTGCTTCCCCGGTATTATTACGGTCGGTAATGTAAATGCTAATTAATTCGTTAATTGTAACTATCCTTCCGATATTTTCGGGAGTCGAACACCATGATGTTGTGTTTTCACTTCATGCTTAGGAAATAACTCAAAATATACTAGGTGTATGTCTGTACAAAAAGCTAGGCGTCTTAATTTCGTCAGTTGTTCAACAAATCAATTACAAAGAAATGACTATAATTTTTTTTAATAACAACTGTATTTTCTCGTATTTATTTTACAAAGTAAACACGACCAAAACATCTCTAAGTTTTTGGGAAATGTATTCAATTTAAGCGACTGAAAATATATTGTCTATTTCAAATTATCTGAGTCTTTATCGTAGTACCTATCAAACTTTTAGAAGGACTTTTCAAACGCACTATGAGAAACTATGTGTCAATCAAATAAACTGGTACAATGTTCCGTGCAATCAAACACAACCCATGGTTTTTTTCTTGCTTTGTTCACACAAAACCTTAGCCTTGCTATATCTTTATTTGAATAATAATTAATTTTATGAGGCATACTGACATTCGCGTTTACAAACAAAAAGTTGCGTTGCATGGTTGCGCTAAAAATTTTTAGGAAAAATTACTTCCCGAAATGGAAGTATACTGTAAGGTTTATTCTGAGCTCCAATTTGTTGCTTGTTACGGAAAGAATATTTCTCTCTCCTTAAGTGAAACATGAAACATTTTAGAAGTGGTAAGAATAAGCGTTCCAGAAAAAAATGCATCTTTGATGGTAGTTTTCTTTTATCTAGTGGCGTAGGCAGCGAGTACAGGCACGCTGTTCAAAAGCGAATTGTGTTCAAGAGACCATATCATTCTTCTCTCACCCATTATTATTATTATTATTATTATTATTATTATTATTATCATTGTTATCATCATCATCATTGTAATTATTGTTATAAATACTATTATTATTGTTAAGTCATAATTATTATCTTTACAATTATTGGCATCATTATGATACTATAATCGATGATATGATGTTATAATTGTTTGTATGATTCTTTAATATTAGAGACGAAATTTTAATTTAAAAATAAGTCACTCATGGATCTACGCAGCATTTTACCTTTTTCCCCTTATTGTTATTATTATTATTATCATCAGTATCATTATTGTTAATATTTTTATTTGACAAGTTAAAGTATTTTTCGATTTTTTAAGGATTTTATCATTATTTTTGTAAATATTTTTAGTGATTGTTATAATTATTCATCTGTATTTTAATATAAAACATATAGCATGTCAATGTGCATTATTGCTATTAAATACACGTAAATTGAAAGAGTAAGGTATACCTTTAAAAACATTGTTACCAACATTGTTATTATTAGGGTGGCACT